GGGGGGGGGGGGGGGGGGGGGGGGGGGGGGGGGGGACTTGGAGAGTGTAGGAAAGAGAAGCAAAGAGGAGGAAGGAGTCGACCAAGCAGTAGACGGACAGAGAGATTAGTCAGCTGTAACTGTGAAGACGAACTCAAATGGAGACAGACAAGCTGAAGGAGATTTTGAAGAACTATGATTTCCCAAACCAAACTTTCAGTATGACAGATGTTTTACTCCTGAACTGACAAATCTGATCATTTACTGTTTCACAATCTAAACAGAGAAAAGTGAGAATCCAAAATAGTCTCCTCTGTTGGTCAGCAACAAACTGACTTCTAAAAAAAAATCTTAAAAGGTATCAAGCGGTTTTAAATAATTCAGAAAAATAGAATCGGAGTAATAATATTTATTCTTATTTTCTGTTTTGGGTGTCTTAAGAATGACAGCAGACATCAAAATGTCTGTTTTTATGAGACGTGGGAATGAGTGAGATGCAATAGTGATGGTTACCTTTGTTATTGTTCATATCTTCTTTGAGGTATTTTTAGGCCTCAAACCCAGACAACAGCATCTGCTTGAAATGCCTGTTATACAGTTAACTCGCTTCCAGGGACATTTGCGTCAACAGAAAAACAAAAGTAGGAGCAACAAAAGGCAGTAAGAATGCCAGTCAAAGTTTGAGCACCGTTCAGAGCTGCATGTTCGTTTTCTTGTTTCTGATTTTTCTGCAAAGATAAATCACATCCAACGTCCTCTGACTCTCACTAGCATAAACACACAGCCAAGAAGTGGATGGGATGCAAGTATGTTTCAGAACTGTGTTTCTTTTTCTTTTTTCTTATCATGGACTGAGGGAAAAACAGGAGAAAGAGAGAGAGAGCAGACACGGCAGAGAATTGAATGCATTTTTCAAAGTGGAGCTGAACTTTGTGCAAAATCCCCCCAGGGGCCGCCATTATTGAAAGCCATTTCCTCTCAAAATGAGTACGGCTCCACCATTGGCCTGGCTCTCATTAGCATACATTTGGCCTGCCTTTGTGTGGAGCCGGCTGGGGCTGCAGCTGGAGGGGTGGGAGGGAAGGAGGCGCGTGTGTGCATGTGTTTGTGCACACATAGATAGATGGAACAGGAGATGCAGTAAAGCATCTTCCACAGATGGAGCATATGGAGAGAGGTGGAGAGTAGAGAAGTGGTGCGAGTTAGAGACATGGGGAGCAAATTGAGGCAGAATCGGTCTTCACAGTGAATTCATTATATATTTTATATTCCTTCAAAAAATTTGTTGCTAATTGCCAATATGCCATCACCATTTTCCTAATGAAAACATAAAAAAGGGCCATATTGTGAAGAGATTTGCATTCAGGATACTCCTAATCAACCACATAATTGTTTGCGTGTGCCCGTTTGTTTACGAATGGCTGGCTGTGCACCGCTCTCTGTTCACTGTGTGTTTGCACAAAGGAGGTGGTAGCACACCAGATAGAATGTTTCAGTGGTGGCAAGCATCCAGATGTAGGAAACTGAATACACCAAGCCCAGAACAACTGTTTTTCAGGACTGCCTGCAGACATCTGTCTCTCAATAAGTTACCGTTGGCACTGCTAGTCCTCATTACACTTTTCTATTGGCCGATTCAGCATTTTGAACGGGTTAGCTAAGGCACTTCCAGTAAAGAAAAGAATTGTTGTTGGGTTTGTGCTCAAACAGAGATCATTGTGATGGGCTGGTCAGTGTTACAGAACTTCCTTGCACATTTGCAAATCAGTTACTGCTTAAATCCAGTAAAACACACCTAGCTGAGCTGAAACATTGATGGCTGTGAGAAGCTAAACTAATAACTACTCAAGTTCGTGCACACACAGTTTTGTTTTATATATTTTTTACACTACTGAATAATGAATGAACCTCTGCTTTCTTATGCTCTCTAAAGCCGTGTCTTAAATTGCGTACGGTAGTCATAAGAAATGTGAGGTGACACAGCACGGGTCCTGCCATCCAACTGCTGCTTCTTAATGTCGGTTTAGGATACAGGAGGCCTACAGAGTTATAGGATAAATACTGACTACACGGAGAGTGCAGTGCCCTGTCACACCAGTCTTTGTCTTTCTTTGCCAAAGTTTGTCAAACTTGCATTCAGTACTTGTAGTTTGTTGTGTCATCTAGTAATTCGGGCCCAAATAGGAAATAAATAAAGGGTCTCATGTCACAAATGTTTTTATCCTTTGTGGAAAATATCTGTACATTTTCTGTCCAACAACAACATGACAGCAGGTTAAAATAAACCCTCTGACTTGTTTTTTGTTTTTATTGGAAAATATTTCCTGTTTCTTTTTGGCAGCCAAAGTTTTGATATATTAAATTAGGTACTATCTGGCTATTACAAGCTTTTTAAATCGAGAGACCTGAAGGAGAGGATGCCAAAATAAGAGGTTTGAGACATCCTGCTGAGATTTACTACACCACAGCCAGAAAGACAAACTCCAGTCTGAAAGGGATTTTTTGGAAAGAGGACTGGAAGTGATAACACCAATAGGTTTGCCCCAGGGATGGTTATGGTACTGCTTTGGCTGGAGCCTCACTCTCCAGCAGCCATTAACACAGGGGGGGGGGGGGTGCAGCTCAGCCCCCGGATAGGCTCCACGCTTTGGGACACACTCAATTATGCACGTGCACACAAACACATGGCCATATGGAGAATATTAACATCATTACCAATTCAAAGTACCAGGTCAAGGGTGTGATGACCCGGCCCCTGGTTATCCAATCAGAGCAACTGCTCATCCACTCCCCTAAGGTGATTGGATTAGGAGGCCGGAATGGCAAAGCATGGGTGCTGGCCATGGATGATAATTGGCTGATTAATGTGCAGCTGATGGCCACCGAGTTCGAGAGAACAGAGCTTCAATCAGGTACTGACCTCATGACGGTCATGTCTCATCTGAACAATGGAAATGACCCACAAAGAAGGACACAAGTTGTGTTTCTGTTTAGTAGAAGCCAAAAGCCTATATTGGATAAGAAATCACTTGGTACCTACACATCAAATGTAAAGATGCACGTCAAACTGTGAGGACCTGAAGCTATTAGCATTCTCTACGTGTGTTTTAGCAGTCAGTCATTCTGAGGAGCATCTCCTGTTCATTATTGGAGGAATGCTCAGCACCCTCATCGACAACTCTCTGCCCTCCCAAAAACACACAGGGCAACTTCTTGATTGTCAACAGCATGTGGAGCATCCACTCGCATGCGGGAAAGTGTCCCCCAAGGACAAAACTGACCTTCCTGAAAAGTGCACACACATTCTTCCCAGACTTACAGCCACTTAGCTCTCTCAGTCTTATCCCGGCACATGAACCTTTTCACCCAGGCTGTGTTAGCTCAGGTCCTAATTGGACACACTCCATTCCCATTGGGCACACCCAAAAACATGGAATAGAAAAGAAGAGGGGACTTTGTCTCCTTTGCATTGAAACCAGTGTATTGCTTTCATTAAAATGAGTACATAGAGAATTGGCATGTCTATTATCTCACTTCTACCACACCAACCTTGGTCGCCCAACTATAATAGAGCTCCCACAATTTCAGTCCACAGTAAGCCTGCCGCATTTATTGCAAATGCCTGTTATAATTTTAGCTCTGTCATATTGTTTGGGCTGTATTTTGAAGCTTGAAATGAATTTGTGAGTTTTTTTCCTAAGGTCAGCAGAGAAATAACATTGTAGCCGCTCCTGTCCTGCCTTTATTAAAGCCCAACCCTGCTTCTTTCAACTTCATATATGATCAACTGTTTCCTCGCCTGCTGCTGTCCAGCTGCAAAATGACTCACTTTAAACTCAAACTCGGTTAAATGTATTGTCTTTCTTAGTCATTTCATTTCTCAAGTGCACAGAGGCCTTTCTGTTCTTGCCCCACAACAGCTCATAATGGATCAAAACTCTCTATAATTTGGTTTAAAAGTTTATTCAACCCCCTTTCTTGTAAAACAATAACAATAATTCAGCTCTTCAGGAGTATTTGAAACAGTGTGGTCTCTTGACCCCTTCTCAGGTTGTTGGTCCCACTGCTGTGCAATAGTCAGTGTTTGTCCATCTAACACAGTTTGTGCTCAGACATGGGGAACCGTAATGGAATCAGCTGTAGGAAATGAAAGGGCTTAAACCAGCGCCGTCACATGCACAGCTGAGGCACCGGCGGCCCTGCCCATTTACAATAACTCCTCATTCTCTGCTTTTCACTGATTCCATCAAT